TGAGGTTCATCACATTTCACCGCCCTTGCTAATCCCCTGCCCCCTCCCTTTCCTTTCCACCCTTCTTCCCTATCTAGAATTCATCTATTTGATGAATGCCATAGACCATTTTCAGTAATGAGTAAACAGTACATCCTTGTGAACTAGATTCTAGGCGGGGAAATGTAACCCAAGCAAACAAGCAAATAAAATTGTGATAAATCTTATAATCAAAACAAACAGGGTGCTGGGCACGGTGGCACATGCCTGCAATCCCAACAGCTCAGGAGTCTGAAACAAGAGGATGGCGAGTTCAAAGCTAGCCTCAGCAAAAAGTGAGGCACTAAAAAACTCAGTGAGACCCTGTCTCCAAATAAAATTAAAAAAAAAGGACTGGTGATGTGGCTCAGTGGTCTAGTGCCCCTGAGTTCAACCCTTGATACCCTCCCCTGCAAAAAAATAATATAAAGAAAAAAAACAAGTAGAGGAGGGAGATTATTTTTCACGAGGTTGTTATAGGATTTTCTGAGGAGATAATATTTTAAGTTCAGACCAGAAGAGTAGGAGCTAATCATGTGAAGTATGGGAAGGAGAGTGTTCCAGGCAGGGGGAAGAGTTTGCATAAAGACTAGAGGCAGGCAATAGCTTCTTTTAAAAAAAAATTATTATTAGTTGTTCAAAACATTACATAGTTCTTAACATATCATATTTCATACATTTGATTCAAGTGGGTATGAACTCCCATTTTTACCCCGTATACAGATTGCAGAATCACATCGGTTACACATCCACTTTTTTACATAGTCTCATACTTGTTATACAAAATTACATATCATGGGAAGTGAGGGGAAAGGAAAAAAAAACAAGGGGGAGAAATGAATTACAGTAGATGGGGTAGAGAGAGAAGAGGGGAGGGGAGGGGAGGGGGGATAGTAGAGGATAGGATAGGCAGCAGAACACAGCAATAGCTTCTTTTGTTTGAGATTCCTTCAGGAGACTGAATGAAGTCTAGAGTGACAGAAGTATAATGAACTAAGTCAAGAGTAGCATGAGATAAATGAGCTAGCTATATAGTCAGAGGCCTCATTTTACTGAGATTTTGTACCTCATAGTAAAGACTTAGCATTCTTAAATCACATTTAAAGTCAAAAAGAAATATAATCAGTTTTACAACTTGAACCATGTAAATGTATCTTGTATATACTAAAAGAAGATATTTGTGATTGACCTTGACTGGGAAGAGATAATTATAACTTTAAAGAAATAACAGTAGAAATGCAAAAAGTTGAACAGATTTGAGACCTATTTTGGATGTTGAATTTGCCAAGAATGCTCATGACTTACATATACAGTTTCATAAAAGGGTTACAGAACAAAGTTCTTCTGATTTGAACAGGAGAATGGTATTTTCCAAGAAGAGGAAGATGTACGTCATAAGAAAGTGGAGCCCAAATCTCTGTTACGTTTTCTCTGCTTAAACGTGACTTATACACTGCTTAATTTCACAGTAATTTAGTGGGTAAACTTCTATCTTTTCATGTTCCTGGTTTTCTATAACTTTTAAACATGTTTCTCTGTCCTGACACAATATACCAACTATTGTTCTGATCAGAAGTGATAGGATAAGAGTGCCATTTTTTCCCTTTCTAAAGTAAATATAAGTTAGGGTCAAATTGTACAAAGGGGTTCTAATTAGTTTACTCTTAAATATCTTGGGTCTCTTATCATTCATCCTTTAAATCATATGATGTATTCAAGTAATTAAGTATTTTTGCCCAAATGTAATATCTCTTCCTATTTAACTTCATCTATTTAATTTGACCCACTGCTCCAGTCTGTGGATATGCCATGTTTTAGACTGCTGTCTGGTGTTCAAAGATTTTGTTCTTTTACCATTTTCTCTGAAAATGTGATAAACATTTCTTTTATATTTTGAGTCAAATCATACATACACATATTGATCAAGATATGATTGAGAACAGATCTGTTTATAATGAAATTATAGATGTTCTTTCAGAGTGGTATCATTTTATTAATTCTCACTTTTTTCCATGTGATCACTCAAGTGCTTTACCTAATCATATTGTTATTTTATAAGTAAAGAAAGATATATCAAATATACTACTGACTTTAGGTTTACCATACACAAATATTTGAACTGAATTACCTTGAGCCTGTTAAAAATTAAATTATATCTAATGCAATTAATTTGTTGTCAACTTATAATGTCAAAAGTTATCAAATATTCTTAAAATAGTTTCTAAAATTATTGAATACCAGTGTGAGGATTAGAGTGCTACAGAGAATAGAATATGCTTTTGCTATTGAAAACAAAATGTTTAGTAGATCATTCTTAGTCTTCTGATAACTTTTCCTTCTCCATGCTCTCATAGATCAATCATTAAATGGTCACATTGTTTCTTTTTCTTTTTGAAATATATAGAACAGAAAAGTACATTTTCATTATGTTGGTAGCTTGTGTGAGCTTTAATTTAGAGACTTTAGCTTATAGAAATAGGTTTGTTTAGAGATCTAGACTGATTATCTTACGACAGATTTATTCCACTCTAAAGTATGAAATCTTGGTAATAAATTTTTCTTTTCTAAAAGTAAACAAGGAAAACTATTTTAAATTATGACAAACAATGACGTTTGGATACATGATAAAAGATAAATGGGGGAAACTAAAGAAATGATATTTTGAAAAGAAATTTGCTAGCTACTTATTTAATTTCTAGCCTTTTAAATTTCATGATTCTATAAATTAACTATGATAGAGATAATGCATCTCAGATTTGATGTAGTGTTTTTTTCTTTATCATTCTGAGGCAACATAAAGGAATAAATACTTGTGAAAACCGAATTGTTGAGAACATGCATTATTTTCTTATGGGTAGGATAAAAATGTGGCATCTAAAAGACTATTTCTATGATTCAAATGGAGTTTGAAGTGATTCTTTCACATGTGATGAATTGTATTGTCAGCAAGAAAAGATAGGGAAGTTATCAAAATAGAGTAAAATTCTCAGAAGTAGGAAGATACAAGAATCATACTGTAACTTGATAAGGATTTATAGAAAATTTGAGGTGGAAAATCATTTGACAATTTTTTTACAGACTTAATTGCAACATAGTGTTCTATGCTATTTTTGTCATATTTAATATAAAAGTAAATTTAAATGAAAACAGACTCAACATTACCTAAAAATCACATCACATTTTGATATTATGAGTTATAATCATTCTTGGTAACCTTAAGAAAAATTGTTAAATATATAAAGTACAAAGACCATTTTTGAGGTCTAAAGTACCCTGCTTATTTGTATTCTAGCAAAAACTAGTGATATTGTCATGTAAAGACTTAAAAGAAATTATCTTAGAGTTGATGAGTGAAAGCTATTTCATTGAACAATAAATTCATGAACAGATAATACTTAGTACCTGCAATGAATAATAAAACATCCTAGGAATTTGAGTCATTGCAGAGACTTGTTTTCAATATGATAAATTAGAGAATACCATGTATTAATAATATAGATTTCTAATAATAATTATATAGATTTCATTAAATATATCTATATTGTGTGGTGTAGAGAGAAAACATATCCAAGTGGTTTTTATTAAAAGGTAGAATAAAAGAATAAACGAGGTTTGAATCAGTGGACAAGTAAAAATACTGATGAAAATATGAGAATGATTTCTCTATTTTGAAATCCTCTTCTATGACTTTAATTCTCTTTAATTCTCATAGACATAAGGATCTCTATGAGAGCTTGCAGGGTGAAAAAGCTCACCTCCTGTTTTTTTTTATGTATTAAATGAGCTAATATCTGTAAAGAGCTTAAAATAATGGCAGGTGATAAACTATGTAAATGTTATATATACAAATATGCAAAAGCAAACATCTCAGAAAACATCTAGCTTTAGGTAAATATTTGCTAAGCTTTTAGAATTTAGATCAGTGTTTATTATCAAGGAAAGCACATTATCCTTCAAAAGTTGTAATGTACAAACATATACATCCTTTTATGGTCCTGGTTTTTCTACCTGTGACAGAGATAATTATTTGCCCATTGTTATCTGTCCTTTGTTCCCCCTTCTCTTCTTCTTAGTAAGAGGCCTTCAATTTTATTCCAGTACCCCCTCCTTTTTTTCCCTAGTTTAAAGGCCATATTCCTTACCCTCTCCTTTGTAACTGTGAGTGGTCAATGAGATCTTAGTAGAAGATATTAGTAGAATCTCTGAGAAGAGATAAGAAATATGATTGTGCACTTTTTAAATTTTCTCTTCTTCCATCTTCCAGACTGAAATGTAGACAAGGTGTTTGGAGCTCTAGAATCTCTCTGGAATGATGAGAGAACTTTGAGGATAGAAGCAATGCATGCAATAAAATAGAGATGATTCCCTCATGACCTGATAAAACCTCTGGAATAGTCCTGGCTGGACTCTGAAGAGAAAAAGAGAGAAGAGGGTTAATAAAACATTACAATACAGAAATACAGTTTACACTGACAATGCCCCCATTTTTTGATGAAGCTCCTCTTCAACTTGTTATTCCTCCCAGTCATATTTGATCCACTTGTATTTTTCAGATTTGTAATTATGCTGACCACCCCCACCACATTCTTCTTGTGTTACTGTTCCTCCTTTTCCAGCTTATGTTGCTGCCATCATTATTCTGTGAAATAAATTTTCTTTCTCTGAATCTTCCTTTAGACTTTCTGAGCAAACACTATAGTGTGTTTCTTTGTTGTCTCCTTATAGCATTCTCCTGACAGGTCTCCTTTATCCTCCATCTCTTTTGTAGCTTTATCTAAGGTATATTATTAACTCTTAATAGAAGGACAGTTTATCAAAATATTACAGAAAGGGAGATTTTTAAATTTTTTTCTTAACTCTGCCTATTTTCCAGATTTATTTTTAATTAAAGTCAATTATAATATTATATATTGCATATGAAAACTCTTTGGGAACTCTAAAACATATAAGATGCTATCAGTGCTTTTATTTTATTTTCACAGGATATTTATTCTTCTGTTGATCTTAAAAAAGCTAGTGGACAGATAAAAAATGTTTCTCCTGTTATCTATGGATTAAAAACAAAAGATATTGGCAGGAAATCAAAAAAATCAAGTTACCTCTTTCAAGAAGGTAAGTTATATAAATTTAAATTATATTTAAAGAATATATTTTGATCACTAAGTAAAGCACTACCCATTGGGAATAATAATTTGAACTCTAAATAAATACAAGAGTCAATGAAATATACAAATTCAGAAATTCCATGAATTTCAAGAACCTAATTTCGTGTAGATATTTGGAAGTGGGTAAATTGTATAGCAAGAATCACACTGAACTGATTGTTTTGTTATTTTATGCTTTTGTCAGTATTACACCTTCTTTGAGAACTATATGAAGTATCAGATTAATCACAAATTTTGAAATTAAAAAGTGATATTAAATTTACTTCAACTTTGTAATTATTTTTGTTATATAAATGAATATTATTAAATTTTGGTTGTTAATATGCATTCTTTTATTTTTAAAGATTTTTTAAAATGAGAAAATGTTATGAGACATTCTTTTTTCTATCATCTTTCATAGAAATATTATAAAGCCTTTTAATTTGAAAATCAGTTATCTCAAGGGATCCTCTTTAATTCTCAAATACTCAATTCTTTCTATTTTATAAAATTGCATGTTGGTATCTTTTATCTTGGTTATTTTCTTTTCTTGCATGTAAAACTGGTCACTCTGCTAGATCCACATTTGTCAGTGACTTGTTGCTTATTTTATCTGTACATCATTATTTTCATGTACTTCATAAAGCTCTATGTCTTTTATTTAAATGTAATTTTATTTTTATATGACGTTTTAAACATTTAGGCTTATAAACCAAACTGGAATAAATGGAAAAATAGGATTCCCATGCCACATACCCCTCCACTCATTCCTTTTACTACTCCAAGGCCATTTAATTCAATAATTTTATTATATTAAAATTAAAAGTAAATAATTTGAGCTTAATCAGAAAATCTCTTTTTCAAATTTAGATTTAATCTATAGGTTTCTACTATGAAATATTGAGATTTTATTCTCTTATAATTCTCCTTAACACACACACTTACCTATAACCTTCTCTCTATATAGAATTATAACATCACTATTTGGAGTTAACTAATATTTCATTTGTATTTATTTTGACTAAGTAAATACTGCTCACAGCTGGGCCACATTATTTTAGGAATGAATTTGTTTTTTTATGCAGTTTTTTGTTGAAAATGTGTTTTCAAATCTCTTACACCATTCAAACTACTGCCAATTCAAATATACCCACATTTTTAAAAAAAAGATAATCCTTCTGGATCCCATCTTTTTACTCTTTTAATTTTATTGCTGTACTTCCTATGATAGCTGTTATCTTGGCACTTCCCTTCCACCATGATCTTGAGAGTTTATCTGTCTCTCTAATCTGTTGAAACCCTTGTTTCCAGGATTCTATATCATGTTCTTTCTTGGTTTATTTTCTTCTTTTAATGAGAGGCCTTCTCTATTACTGAGAACTTATGCATAGAGGTTAAATTTTTTAAAATTTAAAAGCCTAAGCTTGTCTTTATGCCACACTTAATTTGGTCGATGATGTGATTAAGTGCAATTAAATACAGAATGTTTTTCAATTTTATTTCTTTTTTTAGAATTACTTTCTTGCTTTCTGGATACCAGTGTTACTTTTGGCATCCATTGCCATTTAGTTCTCGATCTGATGTGTGTGAACTTCTGTTTGTTGTTGATTGTCACCTTTCACTGTAAATAAGCAGTTTTTATGTCAGGTATTCAACTATTTCATAAGTGATTTGTCTCAGTTTTAGTTTGATTAGCTGGGTTTTCTCTCTATTCAGTTTATTGTGCCTTTTCAATCTGAAAAATTTTGTCCTTCAGTTCTGGGCATTTTTCTTATATCATTTTGCTGTTAAACATCCATAACATAATCTTAATTCTACAGTTTGGTAATATTAAGCACTTTTATATTATTGTGCAACAATCATAATCACCCATCTATCTCCAGAACTTTTCCATCTTCCTCAACTGAAGCTCCATACTCATTATACATTTACTTTGATCATCCTTGGCATTCCACCTCCTGGCACCCCCATCTACTTTTCTTCTCTGGAATTTGATTACTCTAATTATCTCATACAAGAGACTTCATACACTATCTGTTCTTGCGTAATTGATTTTTGTCACTTAAGGATTAAGTTTTTAACCTTCATCTGTGCTGTATCATGTATCAGGATTTCTCTCTTTTTTAAGGCTGAATAAAATTCTATGTATGTATATAGCCTGTTTTGCTTATCCACTCTTTCACCAATAGACACTTGATTTTCTTCCATGTTTTAGTTATTGTGAATAATATTGCTATGAACACGAGTATGGAATATGTCTTTGAACCCCTGCTTTGGGAGGATCTCGCTTAGTGTCTCTCTCTCTCTCTCTCTCTCTCTCTCTCTCTCTCTCTCTCTATATATATATATATATATATATATATATATATATATATATATATATATCATCTATATATATATAGATATATATAGATATAGATATAGTGAATCTATGTTCTTTCTTTCCTTCCTTCCTTTTTCTTTCTTTTTTGATATGGGGATCACATTATGGTGTCCAGGATGTTCTAAAATTCCTAGGATCAAGTGATCCTCCAACCTCAGCTTCCCAAGTAACTGGGACTATAGGTGCATGCCACTGCACCCAGCTTTGATGATTCTATTTTTAATTTTTTCAGGAACTATTTTCCATAGCAGCTTTACCATTTTATGTTCCCACAAACCAGTATATAATTGTACAAATTGGTCCACATCTTGGTCAAAACTTGTAACTAACTAATTTCTCATTCATTTATTTATTTTTTATTTTGATAAAGAGTTGTCACTAAGTTGCAAAACCTGGCCTCCAACTTGCAATTCTCCTGCCTCAATATCCTGAGTTCCCAGTAGTACAGGAATGTGCCAACATAGCAAGTAACAATCTTCTTATTTGATTGTTTATTTTAAATGTGGCTAATAGTAGGATTTCTTATATATTTTGGATACCAAGCTGTTATCAAGTAAATGACTTGAAAATGATTTCCTTCCACTGTGTGAATTGCCTTTTCATTCTATTAGTAGTGTCTGTAACATACAAAAGCATTCTAAGTCCAAATTATTTACTTTTAATTTTATTTCCTATGCTTTTTGTGTCATATCTAAGAAATCACTGAGAACACCAATCTCTTGGAGCTTTTTCTCTATTTTTTATGAGTTTTATGATCTTTTTTGGTGGTAGGGGGGTCAGGGATTGAACCCAGGGGAACTAAACCACTGAGCAACATTCTCAGACCTTTTTAAATATTTTATTTATAGATAGAGTCTTGCTGAGTTGCTTAGGGCCTCGCTAAGTTGCTGAGGATGGCTTTAAACTCAAATCCTGCCTCAGCCTCCCCAGCCGCTGAGATTATAGACATGAGTCTTTGTACCCAGTGAGTTTTATAATTTTAACTCAATGTTTAGGTTCTTCATTCACTTTGGATTGATTTTTTATATAAAATATGAGTTCAAACTCACTTATTTTCATGTGGATATTCAGTTTTCAAAGCCCTAATTGTGAAAAAAGACTTCCTACCCACTGAATGTTCTTGAAATTTTTATTGGAAATCATTTGACCATATATGAAATAGTTTATATCTAGGCAGTCTATTCTATTCTATTGGTATAAATGTCTTTTGTTATTCCATATGTTGTTTTAAAAATATATTCATTTTAAATTTATGTATAAAACATAAAATTGTACATATAAAAGGGATACCATGATATATTTTAACAAATATGTATAGTGTAATATTTAAATAAACATATATATCTTCTCAAACATTAATTATTTCTTCATGGTGAAAACTTTTCATATCCTTTCTTCTAGCTTTTTGAAATGCACAGTACATTATTGTTATCATTTTACAATAACCCCAGAATTTCTTATTTCTATCTAACTGGAATTTAGTAACCATAGATCAATCTTTCTCCTTCCCTTCCCCTACCACACTCTCCCTGCATCTTGTATCCCCCAGTCTAGATTTTTTTAGGTTCCACCTCTGAATGAGATCATGCAGTACTTGTTTTTCTGCACCTGCTTTATTTCACTTAATATAATGACCTTCATTTCCATCCATGTTATTGTAAATGACAGGACTTAATTCTTTTTATGACTGAATAGTATTCCCATATAAATGTACCAAGTTGTCCTTATCCATTTATCAGGTGATGGACACATAAATTATTTCTGTTTCCTGGGTATTATGATTAATGATGCAATGAATATGGAAGTATAGATATCTCTTTAGAATACTAATTAATTTCCATTGGATATATATCCATGAGTGGGATTGATAAATCTTTTGTTGTTGGACACAATACCTTTATTTTACTTTTTTTATTTTTTCATGTGGTGCGGAGGATCAAACCCAGGGCCTTGCACATGCCAGGCGAGTACTCTACTGCTGAGCCACAACCCCAGTCCTGAGATTGCTAAATCTTAATAGTTCTATTTTTAATTACTTGAAGAAACCTTCTTACTGTTTCCCATAATGGCTATACTAACTTACATTCCCAACAACAGTGTGTAATGATTCCCTTTTTTCCACATACTTGCCAGTTTTCGTTATCTGTAAACTTTTTTAAAAACAGTTATTATTATTGGGGTAGAATTATATCTCATTGTAGTTTTGATTTGCTTTTCTCTGATGATTAATAATGTTGAGCGATTTTTGTATATGTGTATATAGATGCTGTGATAGTGTGTATATACATATTGAAAATTGTTATTTTCTCTTGCTGAATGGACCCCTGTATCATTACATAATAATGTACATCTCTTTTTACTGATTGTTGTTTAAAGTTAATTCTATACAAGTATGGTTACTCTTGTTTTCCTTTGGATTCAATTTGCATGGAATATCTTATTTCATCCATTCATTTTTCATCTTTATGTGTCATTAGAGGTGCAGTGTTTTTTTTGTTTTGTTTGTTTGTTTTTTGTTTTGTGTTTTGTAAGCAACGTAAAGTTGTGTCTTATTTTTTAATCTATTCAATTACTCTATTTTTTAA